ATAAAACACAATGGAGTATTGTTCGTACTGTCAGAACTGACAAAGACTTCAAGGCCAAACAAACCTTACAAGAAGGTTTTTCTGCCTTCCTTCCCTCAGGACAAAAAACTGTGTCCTAAGACTTATGTCGAAAAGTACTTGGCCAGGACCAAGCCTCTAAGGAGGGATGAAAAATACTTATTTGTGTCTTTCAAAAAGCCACATAAAGCAGTGGGAACAAGTTCCATCGCACGCTGGATCAAAAGCGTGATGAGCCTAGCAGGCATCGATACTGCCCAGTACAGTGCCCACTCAACCAGAGGTGCGGCATCTTCAGCAGCAGAGAGAAGTGGCCTCTCTACTACAGAAATTCTACGGGCAGCGGACTGGTCCAGCGAGTCCACCTTTGCAACCTTCTACAAGAGGGACCTCGAAGAGAGTGACTTCGGGAGAGCGGTGCTGGACGTGGCTTCAAAATCTGCACATTAATCAGGTATTTGGCCAGTGATAGCACGAAGGGGAGCTGTGAGGGACAATTAATAATTGCCCAAAGGTACACTTACCTGCCGGGTAATTGTGGTTGTCCCTTACAGGTCCACGAGTGCTATCACTGGCCTTCCCTTCCCTTAGTAGTATTACACTACTTCCCTGCCCTATTGGCGTCCAGCACCTCCTGCTGCGCCAAAGAAAAAGAATGAGGACTAGGGCATTATGGGATAGGGGTAACCTTTGAACTTTGACTCTTGGCGTAGTATATGCAAATTAAGGAAAACTGCACATTAATCAGGTATTTGGCCAGTGATAGCACTCGTGGACCTGTAAGGGACAACCACAATTACCCGGCAGGTAAGTGTACCTTTGGGCAATTATTAATTGATATGTATTTTGGCATGTCGTCTGCTAGTATGCTCAAGATGATGTACAATATTTCATATTTATGAAGCTTTACCACATTTGTGGAATGATTGACTTAACAGATGACTATCAAGATGTCAAACCTGAGACCAGACTGTAAAGTTTGAACCACTCACACCGGGAAGGAGCCATGCTCTTTTCTTTAAGTGTGGTGGGTGTGCACAAGGTATGGCTGTCTTCAAACACGGGACCAGTAACAATAACTACAGTGTGTTCCTCCTGTGTTGACTACGCCCTAGGGTTCCGCCTGTTCCATCACGTATTGCAACAGATACGACACGTGCCGCTCGTGCACGCGGCAGCCGGGGTGCGGCTGGTGTGACACCACCTCCCAGTGCATGGCAGGCTCCGGGGACGGCCCGGACAAGTCCACACCCACCTGTCCGTCCTACTTCTACTACGACTGCATCACTGTCGGCGGGATGGAGAGCTGCTCAGAGCAGATTGAGGTTCGTAAAAACAGACATTGTGAAGCCTTTAATCTGGTTCAACATCCAAGCGTCATATGAAATGTTGTACAAATACGCGTTTCTGTAGACGCAAGTTACACATCGTAACTAGTGCATACCACAACTCCCAGTACAACCATTCCTCGCATAGGGTTTTAATTTTTTTGTTAGACACACAGCTAATGTACTCAATCTGTGGACTAGAATCATTCCAGAAACTACCGTTATATATTTGTGTTTACCTATGCAGAAGGAAAACATATTGTATCCGTTTCTTCTTCTTCAATTCCAAACAAATAAGGTAAATGGCCTGGACCAGACGGCTGTCACCATGGAAGCTGGTGCGGTAGAAAATATCCTGTGGTGTTGAATTGCATTATGTAGCAAGTGGCAGGACAGATTTAGAGTTCTGGTCACCATATATTCTTCTTTCCTTGTTTTGCAGCAAATAAGTTGCTTGTCAAGGTACTGCAACAACACTCGTACCATCTTGGACGAGGAGATATGTCGGAGATGTCAAGACATTGAGGGATGTTACAAAGACAGCGAGCTTGGAATCTGCCCCGTCTGGAACGAGCAGAGGTGCCCCAGTGGTTTCGTCCGTCCCGATTATTCGGACGAGTCGAGGATTCTTCGATCTCTTGTCCACAGCAACGTGAAGTACGTGGATCCAAAGAAGGTCATCCTGTACTCATGTCCAGTGGAACCCATACTCCGGGAGACGGCCACCGATACCACCTTGTTTGTGGCTTATCCTAAAATCGACGCTTTTGACGGAGACATCATATCCAGTCCACAAAGCGGAGGTGTGATGCACTGGGTGGACAAAGTCGAAAACCTAGGTGTGTCTTGAATCTTATTTGTTCCTCCCTTACGTTAGTTAGGTCAGTGATCTCCGACTGAGTATTGTAATGAGTTGTGTCGGTACGTACGCAGCTATACATGTAACTCACGATCCCACGGCTGTATTGTATTTTCTACACCCAAACCACCCCTATTTTTATGAGCCTGTGGAACAGGTCAGTTGTCGTCTTTCAAACTACTAGACTTTTCTTATTATTTACTCTTTAACATTTCAAATGTCGACCATACAAGCGAGCACTACGGTGCCTTTTCGAATATGCCATCTCTTGCTTTTTCTCACGCTACCGGTTTCTTCCCTTCCAGAGAACCACACCATGATTGTTGCAAAGCCCGTGGGTTTGGAGGACGTTGTGTCGTACGCCGACTTCAGCCAGAAGGTACAGATGTACCGCGTCAACGACGAGAAGGCCAAGGAAGCCCTGCCGGACCACTTCTCGTTGAACTCCGTCAAGGAGGGCTTCGACCCCCGCACGGGAAGATACATCCACTTCATGGAGGGTAAGTTTCTCCAGTAAGCGATTGGTGCTCTGAAGTAGATTCATTTGGTGCACTGAAGTAGATTCATTGAAAATGACTCTAACAGCTTATCCATAAAAAATGCGTTTTGAAACTACATTGTGACTGTGTGATTAAGTGAAATTTATTAGTCTACCCGAAGTATTTAGGATGACATAATGTCTGACCCATAACCACCGAGTTAGCAAAAAAATGCCAACTGCATTGTGACAGCTTGATTAAGGTTTACTCTTTCGAGGTGTGTAGGGTGACATAACGCCTGGCCACGGAATAAACCACCGAGTGAGCAAGAAGACAAATGTTAACACACAGAGGCGTATATGTGTTCACACATCTCTTTACCGTAACATAAGCCTGGCTAGCGACCTACAATAACCGAAGAAACCACCGAGTGAGCAAGTAGGCACACACAGGCGTCTATTTCTTTGTTCACACATCACCTGTTTACCTACCATAGATCGACCTGTATACAAGTGTCTCGGGCGTGAGTTCATCGACCTGAACACTGGAAACCTCATCACGTCCTACTACATGATCATGCCTGCCAACCCGGAGCCCGAGCCCGCTGTTAACCCGGGCGACCTGGTGGCAGACCAGGAGAGCCAGGGTTTTATCGAAGTGGTGAAGGACTTCACGGAGGAGGACCTGGGCGTTTTCGTCCACACCGAACACAAGCAGTGCGAGCCTGGTGACGTCAGTTGGCTGGACGAGTAGGTTTCCGTTTTATTTTTCATTTTAAACGAAAGGATTTGGACACTAACGATTTAAATAATGACTTAGATATGATGATTTTGTTTTGTACAATTTGCTTTAGTTATTTTTGTTGTAGTTATCTATCCTTATTATTATAAATTCAATTATCACATTGATGTTTATTTCTGTATATCTGTCAATTTCTGTTACGTAAGTATTAACCTATGTTCAATTTGTGTTTGGACGGACGTTTTCTATATTCTTATTCTTCTCAGGTTTTCTATATCAAATGAAGAAATAAATAAATTTATCTATTAGTTGTCCTTCTACGAAACGTACCCAATTTCATTATGTGTATACCTATAGCTAACTGCAAAGATTGAAAAAACTATACCAAAATATTATACGTTCAAGTAACCAATATCGCTTTTTCAGACTTGAATCAAAGATCAGAAAGAAGCACAAGAGTGAAATTGTGGAGGCCACGCTAGCATGTACGGGTGGAGACAGCCGGCCGGGACTTCTGGTTCTGGACACGACTTCTGCTGAAGACTTGAACATCCGGCCTGGGAACGTTATCATCGGTAGGACCACTGGTGCCGTCCTATCACAGGTGAGCTGTCCTGCATTCTTCCACCCGACAACGTGAGTTTTCCGGTGTAGGTTATCCTCATTACTGTAGTCCAAACCCTGGTGGTTTCTGCAACGGCCGTAATATACGACGTGCATGTAGGTACAAAGAGTTAGCCTGGAGTCCAGCCTTTTTAGCTTGGGACGTTGCACGTTGGAAGTGGACCAAAGCTAACGAGGCTGGACTCCATCTAGAGTTAGTTGGACTATTGTGGGAGGAGTCTGCATATTTCAGGTCGTGAACCAATCATGGCGACAGCATGCAAAGCATACTGAACTGACTGAACTGCGATATTTCGCTGGGCTTTGAGTTCAGTTCGTGGTCCATGACTCACATGCATAAAACGTGTAGTTGTACTTCTCCTTATATTATCAATCAATTATAGATTGCACAGATTGTTAGTATTTCACTTAGTATCCAAGGCATCCTTTTGTATTGTACCCTAGACCCGTTGCGATCCTCAATACTTGTAACTCAGTATTAAGTTAGGCCTCTTGTAAACCGTGCTATAGTAATACCTGGTAGTAGATTAAGCATAGGTCATACAAAGACGGCTTTGTACGACAGTAATTGAATCGGCCTGGGTTAGTGCTTGTGATACGTAACATACTTTAACAGTTAGACCCAAGCCTTATGAAGTGTACATTTGCTTTGCAGATCATAACAGTGAACTACGAGGAAGGTTTCCTGTTCCTGGAATCCGTGGCCCTGACGTCATCTTCAGACTACGTGGAGAAGGAGAAACTCATGCTGTCAGACGGCAAGAGGAGGAAGAAGAGGGCACTTGGCTCGAGCACCGCCGTGGCAGACTTCGACTGGAACAGGCGGCTGAGATCTACTGTAAGTTGGTATCAAATTTGTATTGCTTATGGCGCAAGGCAGCAGGGAGAAGGTTAAGCTAGTTGGTGGAAAATACTCAAGCGACGTTGTACACAAATACGAAGAACAATTAAGAAATAGGAGATTTGAGACTTCTGGGAAGTGTGTTGGGGTTTTGTATTATAAAAGTTATTGGATCAATTTAGCCTGTCTGGTCATGCGGAAATACCCGATTGAATTACATCATAGATAGATTGTAACTCATACGATTTCATAACTGTGTAGGGTTTAAGGGTCGGCTCTATGCCAGATTTTGTAAACTTTTTCACCTCTTCACTTGTCTGACATTTTGACTCCTGTCATGCCTGTCACTGTCCTGTCATGTGGTATGACACAATCTACTTTGTGCAGGCAGAATACATACAAACCCACCCAGTGAGCCACCGACAGCAATACTTCTGTCCCAGAAGTGAAAGCAATCCTGAGCTATGTAACCATTCTGTGTTCCATGTACCTCATAGTCTGAAGACGAGGAAGACACCGTTGACATCTCTGCCAGCGTGAAGTTCACCCCGAAGTTAGATCTGACACTAGCCGTAACCTCCGTGCCGCCTTACCTGACAGCAATCGGTGCGGAACTGGACGGACCCATACAACTACTGGCCAACGCCACGTACAGCTTCAAGGCAAGGTAGTGATCGCACTCGATTGTTACCTTCGCCAAGAAGGTTATGTTTTCAGGGGCGTTCCTGTGTGTGTGTGTGTTTGTGTGTGTGTGTGTTTGTGTGTGTGTGTGTGTGTGTGTGTGTGTGTGTGTGTGTGTGTGTGTGTGTGTGTGTGTGTGTGTGTGTGTGTGTGTGTGTGTGTGTGTGTGTGTGTGTGTGTGTGTGTGTGTGTGTGTGTGTGTGTGTGTTTGTGTGTATGTGTGTGTGTGTGTGTGTGTGTGTATGTATGTTTGTGTGTGTGTGTATGTGTGTGTGAATGTCATAATTCTGTTTAGAGCATTTGTCAAGCATAATGTAACCTCTTTTACGTCCATGGTTACGTTCAAGGTTGGACATTTAGGTAAACAATACTCATAGTTACTTCATGGTGACACTGAAGTAGAAGTAGAAGAAGAATAATGGATGTCACTCGAAGATTTATCTTCATAATTCAGTAGAGTTTGAATTGCCTATCAGGTACATATTTTGTTTCTACTATGCAACATCTGTAAATTTCCCCTACAGTTGTGTATCATTATCATCTAACATTGTCAGAAGTGTATGGTTCGTTTATTTGTATCAGGCTTGTGTTGGTTTGGCAGTCCAGAGAGTATCTCCTTCAAACATTCCCAACAAGATTCCGTGTCCTCGACAAATACAACTACGTACGATAAAATACAACTACGTACGATGAAATACAACTACGTACGATAAAAGACAACTGCGTAGTACTGGAGTACGTAGGATATCTCTCTATCAGAGGCATTACGATTCATTATAGAAGGAGAAAGAGCCATGTCATCCCAAATATTCTTTTTTACAACTTTTGTTTTGATGAAGGTAGGAACAGCGAACAAGGTCATTTGGTTTCCTCCAAGGTCATGATCTTAGTAGCAGCTTATTTGACACAGCGCGTTGCCTATCACCAAGTTTGACGTTTTCAGTGAGGGAGGGGGGTCTAGAGGTTGTAACACAACATTTTGTTGTCCTTCATGGATAGCAAATCAATAAAAAATTGTGTGAGTAAAGAAAACAAAGCAGGAGAACTTACATTCGTGACCCGATGCCGTTAGAACGCACAACTCGAACATCAACAAACAACATGGCTGCCACGGTGATGATTGTTGCGTCATTGGGATAAACCACAATTTGGAAGGGGTGAGGTCTAATGTCAATACTAAAGATGCTATATAAGATATACATTAAATGATATTTCTGTGAAGGACCTCATGTGTGATGTATACTTTAATTGGTGATTTATAGTTTTAAAGCTATTTAACATGGAACAGCCCAAGATCCCCTTGGGAACATTCCAGGATCCCCATCAATCTTGGACTGTTCTAAAACTCGTTCCCAAGGCATTCTGCTCCCACAAAGTGTTCTGGTCACGAGATAGTAGTTCTGTGACGTAACTAGCAACGCTGTGTTGTTTATATCGACAGCAATGATTGGCTTTATGTCTCACCTTGCTTTTGAACGACACAATGCTATTGTCTCATGCTAAAGCACTTCGTTTACAGGAATAGTTCGAGAGGATCTCAACAACTCGCCATCAGACAAGCCAAGAGTGCCTTAGAGTTCTGCATCATAGTGGGCCCGCCGTCTGCCAGCGTGTGCGTGCCCGGGAAACTGTTGTTGCACGCCGAGGTTCTCTTCAATGCTGAGATGGAGGTAAGATGTCTGCACTTTGCCTTTCTCCGAGATAGAATACACTGATAGCCTCCTGTACAGACTTTCTTGCGGACAGTGTTTGTTTCTACAAAGGTTTAAGACAGTGAAGGCAGTGTTAAATCACATTGATTTCTACTAGCTACTATCGATCGCCCTACCCGCGCTATAGAAAAACGTTTTCCGCTAGAAAGCTGCATAGGAAACTATTAGATAAATTGGTATGCTTGCAATTGGGCTCTTCTATTTTTTTATATCGCTGCCTCCCTGTGTTAGCATAATATCGGCAGAACGTGCTGTGGTTGCGTGAAACCCGTATTGTATTGTGCTTAGCACTTCGGGAGAACATATCGTATTCGCGTCGGAAAAGATATAGATCCTCTGCAATGGGTAAATTATATCCAAACACTCAACAAAATCCATGACAAATTCTGGATTTGCGCGGGCACAGTACGTGCTGCCGACCTGTCAACCTGTTGTCTATAAAAAACTGAATCCTGATAACCACGATAGTGTTCATCACGCAGGGAGCTGGTGTCCTGACGGTCGGGACGACGGCAAACTCCGACGTGAGGCTGGGAGCGCGGTGGCGACGGAGTTCTAAAGGCATGGACTTCTCCGAACCTGGGGTCAGTGTAGCTGTTGAAACACGCTATTTAACGTCGCCATATAGATCGTAGGTGGTACGACACTAGTTGGTACTTCTTGTAAACTATGATGAACGTATTTGGATACGTCGGAGCTTTTACGTATCAATAAATTTTGTCTTTCAAAAGTGGTTACTGTGAATGTCTGCAATGTCACTTTCGTGTATCTATAAATGGTTGCTCGATCTCGCCATACCTTTTAACTAAAATTGCAACAAAAACATTAAGCTTGGTATTGACGACATTTCCTATTTTGTTAACTCACAGAAGCCATTTGACGTTCGTCACAACTATGACGTGAGTATGCCTGCCGGTAGCAACGGGACCGTGACGATCAGCGTGTCTCCCACTTTCTCGGTAGAATGGCCGTCCTTCTCCACCCCGACTCTGCCGCCTGGCGTACACAAGGACATCCCGGACTGGATGAAAGACGCTCTAGGTGACCTGTTGTTTATGTTTACATTCGTAGAAGGAGAACTTATTGTTGTTGATCCGTTTCTTCCACTACTTGTAGTGGCAAATAAGGTCAATGACCTGGACATGACGGCTGTCACCATGGTAACTGATACTGTAGCAGACGCACTGTTGTGGAGGATTAAATTATGTAGCAAGTTGAAGGACAAATTCATATGTATATATATATATGAATGTGTTATGAAAGAATAAACAGAGCAGTAGTTTGTTGGGTAGACCATGTGAATGTCAACATATTACGTATTTGCATTGCAGATGTTTTAAAAATTTGTAGTTTCCAGTTGTTTTTTTTTTTTTAAATAAAAATTGCTGCTGTAGAAAATGCAATTTGCCACAGATGTAGAATCAATTGCTGGATGCAAGGGACGTTTGACCTATTGATGGAGGTATAGGGCGACTTTCCAGGTTCTGCCGGGGCGGACACATTCTGGACGGGAGAGCCCCTGATGCAGGCCTCGGTGAACGCGCCCCTGGTGGCCAGCCTGAAGGCCAGCACCTGCTCGGAGCGCTGCAGTACCTCCGACACGCCGCAGTACGTGGAGATCAGCGGCGGCGTGGTGAAGGCAGGAGGAGCTCTCAACATCTCCTCGAAACGGTTCAACGACACCTTCCGATCCTTCCAGGCACCGGACTACATGAACAGCACTATGGTCAATATCACTAGGTAGGGTGGCAGTCGATTTAACCCTACAACCCGGTGTTCTACTAGTGGGTCGCTTTTACTGACTTAGAAGACCAGCAATTCCTCGATGTGTTGGTCCCATAAAATGGTTTGCGAAGTAGTGACTCGGTCGATCGATGTTTGAAGTCGTTGTATGCAGGATTTTGCAATAGGGAGTATGACAAGGATGAATAGTCATGAAAAGGAGTTAATTTCTTCGTCTTGTTGGAAAATTCGGAATACGCAGTGCGCGGACCGTGTTTTCATTTGTAAATTCTCTAAAGAAGATTGGTGCTGTAGGAGGCACCACGCGGGAATGAACTGCATTATGTAGCAAGTGGTAGAATGTGTACGTAGTTTGACGACGCATATATATTTTTTGTACGTAAGATGACCTTATTCATACATGTATTTAGTTTTGTTCATCTTAGTTATACATGTAGTAGACAGTACAAAAGAGCCCTGTACTGTTGTCGAGTTATAAAAAAATCTCCCGTAAGAGTATAACGTAAACAGAGCATTTGATTAAAAGTTAACGTTGGGATGGTTTATTGTAATGTAACATTTCCCTGTTCCTCCAGCGGCTGTGCCGGACAGCTGGAGCTGTGCTGTACCTGCCCGGGTACCGGTGCTCCAGGGGCGGTGAACCCGTACACGGGAGAGTGTATGTGTGACTGCTACTGTGACCCCCCGCTCAACACCAGGAAGGGCACTCCGGTAACTTCTACTCACTGTAAAAAAAACGGAAATACAAGTTGCAGGTTTTAACTTAAAATGTGTAGACCGGGCGATGCGTACTTACATGTCGTAATGATCCAGTATTCAGATTATCTCAGATTACCTTTGTGTTTTTGAAAACTGCAGATTTTTTTATAAAGAGAAATTATCTGTTCTCCAACTCAAAAAATTGACTCACCGGAATTTTCGACCGAATCTCTAAGTCTTCATCAGTTATCTGACCTAAGTGCAGTAGACACATGATGCACGTGTGACGTCACGCTGGGTCAAAGTTTATCAGAAGTCGGTACCGTCTCCCTCCCTCCCGATTGAGAAGTTTGATCGAAAATTCCGGTGAGTCAGTCATTTCTTTCTAGTTGGAGAACAATTTATTTCTCATTATGTAATCAACCAACTCAGATGAACTTTCATGCTAAACTGTGGTTTTGTTTTGTGCAGATGCGAGATGGGAGCTGCGTTTGTAACACTTGCCCGGGAGGACTGCCCAAGATGTACATGGAAGACGGAGAGATGGGCTGCCCCTGTCTCTGTAACGATCTGTCCGAACGGGAGATGAATGAAGATGGCTCGTGTCCGGTATGGTCACACCTACTGTTTGATTTGGTAATGTTCACACTGGCGTGACTAAGTACTGCCGTAACCGATGCTGCCCCTGGGTAAATAAATAAAAATGAAATGACAGTACTTTGATACTGGTTGTCTTGGTCAAGCATAGCCTGGTGACAATTATCGTATGAACGCAAATTGACATTTGAGGGAAGGGGTGGGGGTTGCCGTGCATGTTTGCTACAAATTGTTGCTGTCTCCTCACGGATAGGGCTTAGATCCTTGTCGGGAGTTCTGTCACAACTTGCTTTAAAAGCATATGCATCAAAATCGTACGAAGATCTACAGTGAACTTTTATTTCTTTGGGTTTGTGTTGGGTGAAGCCTCAAAAGCGAAAGGACAGGTGTCTAAACCCGAGATCGCATGATGAAAATGTAAAATAGCTTATGAGCTCTTGAATAGCTTGAGGATGATGATTTCATGGTTTGGATGGAAAATCACTCAGGAATACTTTTTATATACTTCAGTGTGAGTGCGACTGTCCGGACGGCAGTACAGATACCATCGCACCTGACGGCAGCTGTCCATGCAGGTGCACCTGTAACAACTGCCAGGACTCCGTGCTTGGACCAGACGGCTGTATCTGCCCTAATGACGTGTGAGTAGCCATCACAGATGACCAAAGTCGTTTACAATCTTTTTGTATATGCTAGGATGTCACATTGTGAATTTTTGCCCTTCACAAGCAGTTGCAATGCTGCAACATTTATATGTAGATACTACTAGGCGAGTCTAGTGTCAACAATACTAAATGGATAACGACGGTCACCGTATATTTTTGTCATGCCGGGCTAAGTACAAATCACAACAAACCAAGGTAAACAGATGCAGTTAACAGATACAAAAGTAAATTTGATAAATTCAACCTCTCCTCGCTCTGTAAGTTATATTACAGATAAAAGAACAGATTTTTTTCGGTGGAAGGGTTGCATCAGGAATTAAATTTATTTTTATCAGGAATAACAGGGAAAATAATAAATGGACACTTGAATTGTGCTCATAATCCCTTCACGTAAGCACTGCCTGTGAAATAATGTTGAAACAAATACAGCAGCTGTACAGTGATTAACCATGACCACCGTAACAGGTGCCCGGTCTGTGACGATGACCGGCTGCCGGTCTGGGAGGGCTGCAAGTGTTCCTGTCCAGAGTCGGAGGACTGCGGCAGACCCCCGATCTGCGTGGTCGGGAGGAGGGGGCCTGAATGTGACCAGCCGGACTGCAGCCCATGTCAGGGTGAGCGTTCTGATTGTTATTTGACGAAACTATAGTTTATTTTCGGTCGAGTTAATAAATAGTTGGTGTGTTAAGTCCGCATTGGGACCCACCCAGGGAATTGAGTAATTTGAGGATGAGTAATCCCATTGAGTGATGGGGTCGTGAACTTGTTGTGAGCCTGGGGTTATAGTGTGATTTGCGGGCCGGGCTGAGAATCTGTGGTTCAAAAGATTGACTGACGGTGCAATCGTTGGAGGATGTGCATACTTCATACAATTGTATGAGTAGGAATCCATTATGTGATTCCCGGATACCCAAAACAATCCCACTAGTCTGAAATCTCCAATTTCTTGATTGATTCGTTGACAATGTGAAGACAGCAATATATAGGAACTATTGTCAGACATTTCCTACAGACTGTTAACATCTTCAGACATTCTTCAATGAAAGCATTCACATCATTTAAGGCATTCGATTTCGTGACGTAAGAGGGTAGTCGAGAAGGAAGTTGGTCTTTAGGACGATGAGCGTCTTTCTGCCATACTGGTCAGAAACTTGTGGAGAAACTAGTGTCACCTCACAGAGGAAGAATTGAAGTGAACTGACCTGTCGTGACTTGGTATGGACATCTGTTCATGTACGTTCTAAAGATCTGATGTTTTCTCCGTCCATCCAGACTGTACAGGTAACGGAGTCTGTGCTGCAGACGTCGGTACGGGCTGCGGCTCCACCTGTCGCTGCCACCGAGGATGGAGCGGACCCTGCTGCAACCGGCGCCGGGCCAGGCGGGCGTGGGGAGATCCACATCTGGAGACTCTAGATGGTACGACCGGTTATGTTGTGGCTAACTCCGTCTCCGTAGATATTTTAACTGTAAGAAAAATCAATTAGTCATACCATTTCATATGTTACTACGTGATTCACACAATTACATCCAGACAAAACCTTTTCCTAACTCTTAGTTCGTTTTTTAATCTCTCTTTATTTTTCAAATAAATAAACAACCAACCACAAAATTAGTATGGCAGAATATAACAAGACACGTGGTATCGCGAAATCAATACTTCAAAACCTAACTCTAAGTTCTTACATTTTGATATTATTGCTTTTACTTAGTACAGACTAAATGTTACAGACCTTGCGTTATGTTATGTTATGTTATAATTAGGAGGATGAAGATGCTTTCCATTGTTCTTCAGTAGATACTTTTCTCATGAAAGTCATTTCCCGAACGTTCACTCTGGCATACAGGTATACACTTTGACTACTTCGGAATCGGGGAGTTCTGGGACTGCAAGAGTCCCGTCAACGACTTCGGCATCCAGACGAGGTTCTTTGCGCACGAGCGCGTGTCCCTCACGGGGGCCGCAGCGGTCAAGGCGGGGCCAAGCGTCGTCACCATCACCACGCCGCCAAAGTCTGCGAACGCTAGCCACTTGCCTTTCCTAAGGTACGCCACCAAACATCGTATCATCGTGCAATACACATTCATTGGTCGTATGAAATATCTTGGCAGCTAACAGCATTCTTTTAATCAGTAAACAGTTTCATCAGGTTGGTGAGTCAATTTAAACATAGTTTTCTTACTTACACAACTAGACTGTGCCGACGTTTTGACAACGTTTCTGTCGTCTTCATCAGGGCAAACTGACTGGTCTGTGACGTCATGAATGGCCATGCCAAAACATACGTTCTCGAACGTGACTTCAAAGAATCCTCGTCGATTTGTAACATAGGGGCAAGGATGCCGTCCCGTTTTCACCTTGGCCTGATAAAGACGACAGAGAGGTCGTCGAAACGTTGGAACAGTCCAGTATGTGGTTGTGGAACTAACAAAACTGCAAGCCCACTGATAAAGGCCTTTAGATTATGTCAAAGGATCCCCACTTCTAATTCTTTCACAAATACACCCGTAACACCCGGATGATGTGTGTTGCAGGATTGATGGTGTTCTCCAGCCTGTTGCCCTGGGACAGAGGTACACTCTCGCCAACAACACCGTACTGTTGGACGTCAGTAACCCCTCCGAGGGGAGAGAAGAAGACCCCGGGGCGGTGGTGGCGTTCTTCTCCTTCCAGTTTGTTTCCGGTACGAGGTTATACATGTCCTACTAGTCTTCACCATGATCAACGTGTAGTACTAGCTTGTGGTTTACGACTTTGTTCATCTGCAGAGCAAAGGACAGTAATAGTTTTTTTTATTGTGAAAAACATACATTAGCAGGGTATTCCAACCTCTTAAGTGTCCATTTAGTATTAACTAGAAATTTTATACAACAGAAAGCATCGTGAATATGACCCCCCAGACACACAAATGACCTACGACCCCCCTTGACAACTGATGACCACGTGCAAACACTAGTATATCTTCGTTAACGTACCAGACAACCCAAGCATGGCTAAAAGTCTGTTTTCTGGACAACTCAAAAGATTAAAATCCTTACCTAAAACATCCAGATCAAACAGAAAAAGGCTCTACATTTGCCTTCTGAAGGTTATCTCTGTAGACTACATGTATTGTATACCCACTATAAACTAGGCCCACTGTGCTTGCATAGATTACTGGCCTTTGCCCTGTAGGGTCCTATAACAGTGAGCACCATGAAAATTGGAATTGACACGATGACTACTAGTATCTTCTGTCTAAACAGGTGCCAGTATTTCTGTGGACGTGAGGCACAGTCCCGTCATGCAACGGATGTACATGAACGTTATGTTTCTGCCGACCGCTGAGTTCAAGGGCAACACGGACGGGCTATGCGGTACCCTAGATAACGACCCGGCAAACGACTTCACCGGGCCCGACGGAGTTCTGTTGCCGGACGCCATGTCCTTTGCGGAGTCCTGTAAGTTTTTGCCTTCGGGGAGGGTGGTCTCCCTCCGGACGGAAGTTCTGTTTTGGGTTACGTTTGTGTTTTCGCACGTATAACTTTTGGCCAAAATAGATTTTGGTTAGTTATTGAGGTCGTGTTGAAACATGGCGATTTATCAGTATTTACTTTTTGGCAAGTGGTTGTCATTCAGTCAGCCCTATTGTACATGTTATAGACGTTGGAAGTTACAGCACCTACCAGGCTTTAGAAGCGGCTGGAAAGAGTAAAAATTGGACACATCGACATATAACATGCCAGGGTAGTTGGTCTGCTATATATTAAAAGGAGCTCGGTTTGCTCCTCCCAAGAGTTTCTGAAGCCTACTAGATGCTATCCATGATGCTTCAGAATGTATGTTGACTGTATAGGAGCTGTTTTAGTCACCGTTACTTTACTGTTGTTACCAAACACGTATTTTTCTCCAGGGCGCGTTAACGAAACAAACGAGGACGGTGGCCTGGAGGGCAGCTGGTCCTGGACAGCCTCCAACTTCCACCACGGCGATGTGATGGACCGCACCTACACAGACCCGTACTACGTCCCTCTCTACGACATCTCAGACCTCCCGCCCAATCGCCTCAAAGTACGAGTAATGATGTCATCATAGAAGTTAATCTGAGTTGGTAACTCAATTACGTTGTAGAACAATAAAACTTCTCCAACTAAAAAAAAATGACTCTCCGGAATTTCCGACTAAATCACTCGGCTATCTGACCTAATAGCTCTGAGGGTTATATACAAGTGACCTCAGCAATGGGTCGAGTGTTGGTGGAAGTCTATATCGTCCCCCGTCCCGGTAGAGAGTAGATTTGGGGGATGTAGCCTGGTGTACAACACAGACAACTCAGTTTCCCATCTTCAGAGGTTTCACAGCATTTTCATATTGAGTCTCTGGGACATACAGTTTCATTGGAGGGTGTCTATGTATCGTGTCTGTGTATTAGGAAGTGTGCCTAACAATTCACTCCTATATATATATATAATTATATCCTTCAGGCGGCACGAGATGCATGTATCAACAGAAAGCTTCCCAAGGACCTGCTGATCAACTGCGTCTTCGACGTGGCGCTGACGATGGACTCGTCCTTTGCCGAGCAGGGGCAACTGAATCTCGGTATGTGTCTCTCCTCTCGTACACGGTCTTTTGCCATAAGATGATACAACATGAACTTGTAATGATCCCCATATACAAGGCAGTCAAACTAGTACTAGTAATCATACTAGCTTTATACAGTTTGGTGTGCGTTTGCGTTTTGATATGGTGTGTTGAGGAAGTATTGTAAATGTAAGCCTTTTAGGGCATACGTTAGGGCAAACTACATGCATGTGTTTTTCGTCCGTCAGTAAGACTTGCATGACTTAGACAGCTTTGTTATCCATCTGTAGTTGCGTGACAGCTGTGTTCTCATGTGGCTGTAGAGTCCTATTTGCCACTGAAACGCGGTCCTGTAGCTGTATTGTTACAGAAAAGGCTGTCTTAGATCCTTTTTGGCGGTTGGTTTTGCCACAGCTAGCTTGACAATTCTACGGCATCAAAATCGTACGACACTCTACAAAGAATGTGACTGCTGATAACAGTGAGTTTTCATATTCCCAGCTGACAATCCCTATTTTCATTGCAGAATGTCCTACGGAATGTACCGGAAAAGGTCGGTGCGTTGAAGGAGAGTGCGTGTGTCTACCCGGGTGGACAGGGCCAGAGTGTGAGACAGGTAGTACAAAACGTTTCATTTTAAAGGGGCATTATGTAACATTCTTTCACCAAAAATTGAAATTTAATTTAATTTATCAAATCTTCATGTAACATCTTCATCCTTGCCCCACAGTGGGGGCAAGGATGAATATCACGGAGGGCTACGAGTGGGGGCAAGGATGAAGATCAGGGAGGGCTACGAGTGGGGGCAAGGATGAAGATTAGGGAGGGCTACGAGTGGGGGCAAGGAGGAAGATCAGGGAGGGCTACGAGTGGGGGCAAGGATGAAGATCAGGGTGTGTACTTCCACTTTTTAACATATTTGTGTAATTATCTCGGTTGATCGCTAAAATAACCCACAAGAGGCGCACTAAGTTTGTGTCACCACCACAAAATACCAGAATGTGGCTGACATGTGTACCGCTGTGTTTCCAGTTTTTATTTTTTTGGCACCTCCACTTCCTTAATGGCACTTACGCGCAGTGGAGTAGGCTTGATTCAACTTACTTTGTAAAGAAATAACCAGAAAATTTACTTTTTTTATGGTACTAATGTTACATAATACAACTTACGTCTTTGCACACCCTCCCAATGACCGTTAGATGGGGAGCTAATAACATTATTGACTGTGACAGGTTAAGTAATGATACAGACAGGACCAATTTACGTGTGGCGATACTACAGAAGGAAGCACTTAGATGGTGTTAATATGAGAGCTGTCTGTACGATTAAAGGTGACACGATAATCCCAGATCCAGACAGTGTGGATTAATCTTGCTGATCTCTTTGCAATGGAATTCTAATATCAGTTGATTGGTGATCGGTTGTATTAAAGCTGAATTTTGTAACTGATACAAAAAGTCAATGTTCTTGTCTTTTTGACGCGGTAAGTTGAATCAACCCTGGTCAATTGCAAATAAGTGACATTTGGGAAGGGTAGGTGCCAAAATATGACGCCTTAAGAGTGTATTTAGAATCTTGAAACACAGCTGTCAGCCATATTTGTTTACGTTCTGGTAGTACTAGTATCTGGTAACTGAGTGCGCCTCGTGTGGGCCATTTTTGTCAGAAATATGAAATAATTGCACAAATAAGAAGTGGAAGTAAAGTTTCACACAAATATTTTTGAATAGAACATTTCAATCTATGGTGCAAAAAATGTTACATAATGCCCATTTAATAGAATATACTTTATATTTTCATACATAAATACACAAGAAAAGAGTTACTCAAGCATTTGAATAGATTTTGAAGAACAGTCAAACAGTTTTCAAAATCTATCCAGTTCCTTGAATGACTGTTGTCTTGTGTATTTTATGTATCATTCATATATACTACATATCTGTGTGTAAAACCTCTAAGTTTTCGGCATCTGTTATTTGGAAGAAATGAATTTGCTCTATAAGTGTGATGTATTTAAAAGTTAAGACTTGACGTTGCCTTGTCTGCATGTTTGAAGGACTGTGCAGTAACTGTTCGGAGGAACACGGGACGTGTTTGGACGGTTTCTGTCAGTGCGACGTCGGCTGGGAGGGACCAGGCTGCACCTGGGAAGGTGGGTGTGTCATTTTTTTTCCATACTTTGGTTTCTTCTGATTTGATGCATCCTCTCGTGAAAAAGCTCACCGCTTTTGTCAGTCAAGCGACCCTGCGATCCTTGCTTCTCGCTGCTTCAACGGCGACCAGCCGCCAACAAACCAATCAAACACTTCCTGTTGTTGGAGGGAGAGTTACCAGCCAATCACGTTGTGTCTTGACTACAGGCAGCAACGTGATTGGCTGGTGACGGCTGCTCTGAGCTCTAATGGACCTATACCATTATTACGTCACAGTTTGTTTACCGCAATGAATGCCGGTCAATCAAAGTTTATATTGTACAGGGGTGCGTAGCGCGGTGTGTGTTTGTGTAGCGTTAGCCTAATATATTAGGCTTTTAATACAGTACTACTTTCGTCTACTTTCGTCTAATGTCACAACTAAATCACCCATGCGGCATGTAATGCTGTGTCAACACAACTAGACACAGCAAAAATCAAACATACCTGACTTTGAAGACTTTGAAATGATCTTTATTCTTTAACTGACCGTTCTAAAATGTTCTTTAGAACAGGTAAACAAACTGTGACGTAATAATGGTATAGGTCCAATCACAGCGAGAAGCACAGAACACAGACCGATATTCCAGGGTCGTTGATTGATTGACATAGTATCATACACAGTTGTACAACAAATGAAGTGCCCAGCATGAGAGAATTGTTTGATGGCGTTTTACTACTATCATATTATATGAATAAAATGATGGTAGCTTTAGCTCATAGTGTATGGGTTTATGGTGTACATGCATATTTACAAGCTGTCCCGACTTTTAGCTACCTGCTACAATGTGAACAACTGCACCAGCCAAGAGCACGGTGTGTGTGAGGAGACAGACGTGTGTCAGTGTAACGACGGTTTCAGTGGTAAGTACCCGTTTTGGCATTAATCCAAGCTCATTCAAGCACTGCCACTCTCCCCTCATCTTAATATGAAAGATAGCAACTTGTATGCCTTAGATGGTAGCCTGCTGCTTGAGCAGTAGGTTACATGCTCAAGTCACAGTTCTGAAGTTGATACCGGGGCCCGACCAGGCAGTTGGTGAGAAGGAAAATATTTGATATAAAAGACAAAAAATAATCAGGAGCACCATTTATCTATAATACGGTATATTCTTGATATACTGTAAATTGTTTACTTTTCATTCACATAAACAGCCCGACTGGGCCCCGGTTTGGAAATGTGGCATAAACAGGTCAGAGTTGTACATGGCAAACATATATGCCCATCTGTGTACCTTCACCGCGTACTCGAGTTTCCCCAAGCAAGCTAAAAGACAATCCCTTTATAACTCTTATTATGATTCCCCTCTCATGTGTAAGGAATCGACTGCAGCCTGCAGGCCACGTGTTACGACGTGGACGACTGTTCCGGGAACGGCGTGTGTGTGGACTTTGACTGGTGCAGGTGTAACGTCGGCTGGACCGGCGAGGACTGCTCCGTACAGTCCTGCCAAGACCTGGACTACTGTTCTGGTACTGTTAACCAACGAGTTGCACTTTATCTTCCTCTTGCAATATCAGTGCTGTTGTGGCTTTGATCTGACTTCTGATATAGCTCACCTGTCAATAGGTGGCATCAAAGTGTTTAGCTAGCTAGCGGACATGATACAGAGGTCACAAGTTCGATTCCTGGCAAGACAATATGTCCTTGGGAAGTGCACTTTACACAACTTTCCTCACTCCACTCAGGTATACCGGGTAGATTGGGTAATTTACTTCGGTCGGGGAGGTAAAAAGTGATGGACGAAAATAGATGGGCTCTGCCTTTCACTACCCAATATAATATTGTAGTTTTAGAGCTACTAATGTCAGAAGTCTGTACTATGTACCTTTGCATCTGTTACCTGTATTTAGTCCGATAGGGCATGAATGTACAATAAAGGTTACCTGCTTTAAAAATATTACGACCCAAACACCCGATAGATAGCGCGACGTCGACAGTAGACTAACCTCTTGAAGGCTTCAAGGCTACATGTATGGGACTACCTGTATTTACTTTACAACTATTTTCCTTTTACGACTATGTATAATCCGCCTTGTATGTACCTCTGCCGGACAGGCCATGGTGACTGTGTTGCATATGACGTGTGCGCCTGTCATCGTGGCTGGAGAGGTCGCAGCTGCGCCCTGCCGGACTGCCGGAAGCTTAGCCAGTGTTCCGGACACGGGGACTGCGTCGCGCCGAACCGCTGCCAGTGTCACTCCGGCTATTTCGGGCGGAACTGCAGCATCACGTTTGACTGCTCGCACCTGAACAACTGCTACAACAACGGCATGTGCGTGGTGGAGAGACGGGAGGACGGGTCTGTGGATAACGCGTGTCGGTGAGTGTGTATCTGTATCTTAATAGCTGTTATAGCTAGTATACGTACGGATGGTATCGTGTCAAATGATAGATGCCACATCGCAGAACGGCAAACTCTAGGTTTGCCGACACAGTGATGTTTCATGGCGTAGAGGATTTGGGTTTGGTTGGGGATTAGGCATTTTGACCCAGGTCCGAATCCAAGCGTGTATTCTGTTTTTTTCACTAAAGTTACAGTTTTTCATGCTGTTGTCGTACATTTGCATTTTAAACCTTTTTTAAACGTTTTCCCCTCCAAAATGTTAGGATACGCTTGGATATGGCACCGACCATTTGACGATGAGGCATCGACCTTTTCAGCGACCGTTTAGGAGACGAAAACTTGCGAGGCTTACCTACATTGTGTGAAGTCAGGTTTCGTTCAGGAATCTTATTTTCTGTCACACACGTGTCTGTTTGTAGATGCTATCCAGGCTACGGAGGCGAAGATTGTGGTGAAATAGCGTGTGACGAAGTGCGCCAGTGCTCCAGACACGGTGTATGTGTGGAGCCGAACGTGTGCGAGTGTCACTACGGGTACGCTGGGCACGACTGCAGCCGTCCTACCTGTCAGGGGATGCACTACTGCTCAGGTAATCCTCTAGCTATCATTTCATCTACGCTTCAAGTTTTATCTTGTCATTATTACAATGACAGTGAACTTCATTGCACATTCACGCCCTATTTGAGTGACAGTGTGTGATAGTAGTTCAGTATCAGGAACAGTGTTTGATGGTAGTTCACTACTGTGACGGTACTTCAGTACATTTTGTACCAGGGACAGTATGTGATGGTAGTTCAGTGCCAGAGACAATGTGTGATGGTAGTTCAGTACCAGGAATAGTGTATGATGGTAGTTCAGTACCTTGAATAGTGTGTGATGGTAGTTCAGTATCAGGGACAGAGTGTGATGGTACTTCAGTACCAGGGACAGTGTGTGATGGTAGTTCAGTACCAGGGACAGTGTGTGATGGTAGTTCAGTAACAGGGACAGTGTGTGATGGTAGTTCAGTACCAGGGACAGTGTGTGATGGTAGTTCAGTACCAGGGACAGTATGTGACAGTAGTTCAGTACCAGGGACAGTGTGTGATGGTAGTTCAGTACAAGGGACAGTGTGTGATGGAAATTCAGTACCAGGGACAGTATGTGATGGAAATTCAGTACCAGGGACAGTATGTGATGGTATTTCAGTTCCAGGGACACGAGTGATGACAGTTCGGTACCAGGAAAGTACCTTCAATTTAAGTTTTTAATGTGTAATTTTTAAGAATGCCAATTTTGCATGTCATTCCTCCACAGGACATGGTGTGTGTGTCGGGTTCGATGTGTGCTACTGCCATGCTCTGTGGTACGGCCGCTCGTGCAGCGAGCCTGACTGTACGGGGGTGAAGCACTGCTCCTCCCAGGGGACCTGCATCTCCCCCGACACCTGCGACTGTTTCCCCGGCTTCGACGGAGAGGACTGCAGCCGGACGTCCACGGTGAACGAGCACGCGCCTGTCTTCGAGCCTGACTACTACAATGTGACCGTCTTAGAGAATGTCCCAATAGGCACCAAAATACTGTCGGTAAGCAACCAGTTGTCCCGTTATTTGGGACTTTTGTTTTAGTAGTTGTAGACAGTTGATTAGAACTCCTATACATAGATGCAATATACTGAGCTTTGACGGTATCGTATACTTTGTTTTGACAACTTTTGCCAATGAAAGTTAGTTTGCCGCTTAGTTTGTAAACAATCCATCATGGGTTTTTGTCAATTATACATTTGACATACCAATTATACATTTGACGTACCCAAGGCCCAACACCGTCCACCCATCCAGTTTCGTTGCCTCCATTTTCGACTTAAAGTTATTCTGCTAGTTAAGCTACAACACAAAATGGTGCAATGGCTCTCACAATGATTAACGCTTCTCGTCCCTGTAGCCCAACATATATGACGAGGGTAGTGTTAAGTTTCAGCTACTTTAGCTACAACTCTTACGGTTTCTGCTAATTCAGCTACAACACAAATGGTGCAATGGCTCTCACAACGATTAACACTTCTCGTTCCCGTAACCCAACGGGTATGACGAGGACAGCGTTTCAGCTAGTTTAGCTACAACAATTCTTACAGTTTCTGCTAGTTTAGGTACAACAATTCTTACAGTTTCTGCTAGTTTAGCTACAACAATTCTTACAGTTTCTGCTAGTTTACCTACAACAATTCGTACAGTTTCTGCTAGTTTAGCTACAACAATTCTTACAGTTTAGCTACAATTAAAATGGTGCAATAGCCCTCATAATGATTATATATTAACATTTCTCGTCCCTGTAGCCCAACGGATATGACGAGGACGGTGGCAAGAACGGTTTGCTGACGTTCACGCTGCTTCCGTTCGGCGCCTACAACCTGTTCACCATCGACACCCGGACGGGAGACGTCTACACTTCGGCCGACGTGGACTACGAGCGGCTCCGCATGCCTGCCATTCAGCTGACCATCGTCGCAACCGACAAGGGAACGAACCCGCTAGCAGCGACGGCAGCAGTCACCATCAACGTGCAGGTTGGCTACTCGAGTCGAAGTCTTAGGCTACTCGAGTCGAAGTCTTAAAGTGGCATTATGTAACATTTTTGTACCAAAAATTTGAATATTTCAATTAAAATGGGGAAAATGTGGAATTATACTGTACTTCCACTTTTCAACATATATTTCTGATATTATCTTGCATTTGTGCTATAATCTTACATTTTCTGATACTTATTGTTGGCGCTAAAAACAACCCACACGCGTCGCGCTCATTTTATTTTGTGTCACCACCACAAAATACCAGAATGTAAACAAACATGCCTGACAGCTGTGTTTCCAGCTTTTAAACACACTCGTAAGTAAGGCTTAATTCATATTTTTGGCACCTCCACTTCTTTAACGGCACTTAGATGCAATGGAGTAGGCTTGATTCGACTTACTTTGTAAAGAAATTACCAGAAAATTTTGCTTCTTTGTATCGTCCATGATGTAGCTTTAATCCTTTCTTACACACTTCATATTTGACGTTAGATCTGCTATTTTGCGATAAGTCGAATCGAAGTATGGAGAAAGACGATTGAAACATTGTTTCTTGTCACGTTATTTTCCTTTGGTGTTTCTTCCTCCCTGTAGTCAACAAAAAAATCAGATGTTCTACTTCAGTCTGTCCCTTGAGTCAGTCCTATGAAAATTAACTTAATATTCCAATACAAGTATTTACGCTTATGAATTATTGTAAGTTTGCAAATTGTTATTTTTGAACGGCACCTCGGAAAAAAAAACAACATACGACGATTCTCTATTTCAGGATCTGAACGACAACTGCCCCGTGTTTTACAAAACTATCCCCTTGTTCCTGAACTTCCCGACGACGACCGAGCCGGGGACGATCCTGGCCGTGACCCGGGCGCACGACTGGGACAGCGGGAAGAACGGGGAGATCTGGTACATCCTGGACCAGGACACCGACATCAGCCTGTTCGACATCCACTGGGACAGCGGAGTCATCAGGAGTATAGACCAGCTGCCTGCAGGTAAGACTTCTAAAGTAGAGTGGATTCATTTCTCAAGCTAACAGGCATCTACCATAGCCTTCTCTGCAGTCTGACTAGTATAAATCGGCCTAAAAAGGGATTGTAACTGGCCAGGGGAGTTGGCCAGCCATAGAGGATCCATAATGATGCATGTATGTTAGGTCAGTAGACCAAGCTAGGTACCCTTGCCATATCAAGTTGTGGTCTGGTATCCAGATGTTTATCATATAACTTTATCAACGGATGAAATAAAAGTTGAAACCTCGGCCAGCCGACAACTACATGTATCACACAATTTGACGGGATGTATTACTGCATTAAGTTCTATCCCATTTGAATTTACGTGCTCTAGTAGACATTTTCTTCAGAATCACTATTGATGTAGAACGCCTTCGCACAAATGCAAGCACGGCCCCTGAAAACCGTAATAATCGTTATGTTATGGTCTATAGTTGACGTTTAACTTTATTTTGTACACAGGTGTGCACCGGATAGGTGTGATAGCGTCCGACAAAGGCGAGTCCCCGTGCTCTCGACGCATCGTCATCACCCTCCTTGTAAGCAAGGTTGTACGGGTGTCATCCTCGCCAGGTGTCCCGTATACCTACGAGTACGACATAGAAAAGGACGAGGAAGAGTTAGAGGAGGAACAGGAGTTCGTACAGCCCACCAGTGCCAGCGACGAGGAAGAAGAGTTCGACGTCATCGCTTGGCTGACGTCCGGTCAAGACCGCCAGCCGACGTCTGCAGTCCCGGAGGGAAGCACGGTGGAGATGGAGTTCTCTGCGACCGCCATCGGCATTGACGACACGGGAGCCCCGACCAGTTCCGCCGACAAGACGCTGGACGAATTCCTACGCTCCAGGTTAGGTGCAAACGACGAAGAACCCGGCAACTCGGCTGCTGAAGGCAGCTCCGTCGACGCCGGGGAACCGCTTGAAATCGCCATTGACAGCGACCCTCTGCGAAGTCCTGACACGGAAAGCAGTGCGACGGGGTCAGGTTTCAAAGACGACAAACTTAACGACAACGACTTGCCTCTGACGTCTTCTGCTGATGGTTCTGAAGACGGAGCGGAAGAGGGTGAGTCAAAGACGTCTGCCTCTGGTGCCTCTGGCATAGGGGAGGCAGATTCACCCGTTACTGACAAGATAAACGTAAGCACGCCTGTCACTGACGGAGAGAAAACAACAAACCCGCCTTCCACTACTACTACTACTACTACTACTACTACAGCAGGTGTCACTGAGCCGGTGCCTACACGACCGAGAAAGGCCAAACCGCAAGATGAAGGCGTTTCAGCACCCATTTCTACCATGCGGGCTGCTTCTATACGTACGGATGGCCCAACTACACCGGCTAAAGATGGCCCTACTACACCGGCTAAAGATGGCCCTACTATACCAGGTAAAGATGGCCCTACTACACCGATTAAAGAGACCCTCCTACACCGGCGTCTACAAACACTGTAGAGGCCGTATTTCAGGCATAGAAGATCCCGACCCTCCTCCAATAGAATCCGGCGATACCGTTGAATTTGACTTCTTCGGCACGCTGACTCCAGGTCGAGGAAAACCCCGATCTCACAACAAGGAGAACGACGTTGGCGAGAAACGGACAATCAGAATCGTCTCGGGAAAACGAGCTGCCCACAGGAGACCGGAGTTTGTTGCGGTCGGAGGAGTACGGCGATTCGGGCGGGGACAGTAACATCGTGACGGACCCGATCCGGCCAAGCGCCGGCGTCGGTGCAGTCGGGCCGCGCATGCAATTTCCCGGCTGGAGAGAAACGGTTAAGTACCAACCACTGGCGGCGCGTGACAAACAGGACCTCCACACGGCCAGTGAGAACAGTGAAGACTTGTCGTCCCGAACACGGGAGACACTCGCCCAGTTTGCCGGAGGGGAGGAAACTGTACCTGTCGGACAGAAGACGCCGCCTGCTGCACACGGGAAACAGGGCAGCGGAAGCTCCGTGGCACGTAGCGGAGACGGGGAAGCGGTCACGCGGGGAGGGAAGAAGCGACAGCCGGCCTCTCCCCGACCTCCCACCCCGCTGCCAGTCCCCTCATCACCCTCACCCACATCCAAGCCACAGACCACCACAAAGTCGACGGGTAAAGAACCAATCGTAGTCGCTTTTGAATTTCAGGGTATTTTCATTGAGGATGAGGAAGATATGTCCATATAGTATCGTTTCATATCATGTGCCTCGTGCACGACCACAAAGTGACGTGTCCCTGTCCCAGCTCGTCGGCAGAACGTACTGCACGCGCGAAAAACCCGTAATGTATTGTGCAAAGCACTTCGACAGAACGTCTCTTTTAAGGTCATATTGGCATATTTACGGATGACATTCCGTGTATAGTTTTCAAATGTTGTGTCGGAAAAGATATCGTCTGCAACCCGCAAAATTCTGAGGCAACGTTGACCAAACACCCAACGAAAAACGTGAAAAAATCCGGGTTTCGCACAGGCACAGTACGTTCTGCCAACGTGGTCCCAGTCCCCTACTGTACGGCATTCCATCAGATGGCATATACGCATGGTAAGACGCATCATCCATTGTTTCCCGACGTTAGCTTCTTGATTTCGTTGAAGGACTGTATATTTTGGGTTTTGTGTTTTTATTCCTGAACCCTTATCATATCAAAACTAGCTAGATTAGAGAGGTCGGACGTAAAATATAAAAGATTAAACTTTATAAACCTTTTAAAGTTAAGTAGAGATTTAATCGTGTAATTGAAGACCTCGTTTTTTCATATAAGCTGCTTTCAAAATTCATAATTTCAAATATGATACAAAACAATGCATCGACCGTAAACATGTTCTATAGTCCCTGGATCGTGTGAAACCAGACGAAATTTTCCACACTGGGCTAAATCATAAAATCGGTACAGAAAATGGTCGGGGAGACTTGTATATAGACCATTGAAGCATGGTACTTAAAGCTTACACCTAGCGCTATTAAAGTTTTCAACAACAAAAACAGGAGGAAACTTAGTGAAGAGAAACATTTTTTATAAAGAAAAAATGCGATTATTTTCTTTCAGTTATATATTTTCCGTTCCGGTTTTGTCCGAGTGTGATATGCATGGTGTCGTGTTGAGTTGAGGTGTACATACAGCTCTTTTTTTGCGTCTAGAATTTTTAGCATGATATTGTACTCAGCCTGCGGTTTGAGAGATTATTATATTCTAACTTGCTTGTAATGACGAGAACTGTAGATGGAATGTAACTAAAAAGTTATTTGGAGGTCTCGAGCATTGAATGATGAAGCTTGTCGCATGCCAAATATAAGTGTGCCAGCCAGCTATGTTTATATTATATACATACCCTAAAAGGGTAGTCTCCACAAGAGAAAAGTAACAGTAGTAGCTAGCTGCTTTTGCTCGCTTTTTTAAAAATAAAGACTATGTTTAACTATTTGTGTTTTTCATTATTTTGTTCATCTTCTTTTGCATTTATTTTGTTTAATCTCGCATTTATATATATTCTTTTTGGTTTAAACGGTCCGCCATTTTGTTCATGACTACATCCATACGTACTTTCATACGTAATATGTTACTTATCAGACAAGCTCGCTCCTTTGCAAATGCCTGCTATGTTCCAAAAAACGGCATTAATCCATTGCTTGCCCTTCACACGGTTTGAACTATTGCTCGAATTCGTAGTTTGCATTTCTGTATAGGGTAGTGCATGCCGGCAATGGTGCATGTTGTGATCTCTGTATCTTCCGGCATGTCTCAGTGTCAACTGTTAATAATCTATCCACGGTGTGCTTTTCACCTAATACTGAAGATACCACGTCTGGTGTCCTAGTATCTTAAACAAACAAACAAACAAGCAAGCAAACAATTTCCCATGCAAAATCTCAAACACATGTTATACTTTCTCAGTTTCACAGAGATACTTATAATAAAACCTTACGATGTAAAAACTATACGAACACAGCACCAATGCTTATTTTGTAATAATTATCACATGTAAAGTTGTTTCATTCTGACGAAGTCAGTTTCCTCACACAGACGTGGTATCTTCGCGGTGTTCACAACACTACTAACACTTGTCTTCACTAACGTAACTACTACTTTACTAACAGGCAAGAAGAAGAAGAAAAGGCGGCGGAAGAGGCCGTTAAAATACGACGGACCAGTTAGCCCCGGCGCCATAGCCGGGGGTTGCATGGTCATCTCCATGGCCCTTCTCATGTTAGCCGTCATCCAACGACAAAACCGTGAACGGCTGGAACGCAAAAGAATCATCAAGTGGATATCCTCCATACCTAACAACCTGGCCGACTTTGACATGTCCAACATAGAACCCTTCACGGTTCCTATATCTCAGACTTCCCCACAAAGAACTACAACCAGAACTACAACTACAGTACAAATAGAGTCGCAGCAACGGCAGCCTTTAGTCAGGCGCCACAGCGAGCATCTTCCGAGGGACCAGGAGCGTCGGCCCTCGTCCTTCCCGTACTGTACTGCATGCACAACTCAGTCCAGCCTCACGTCGTCCGAGAGTAGCAACCGTGCACTGCTCAGCACCAAGTCCGTGTCCGAGGCTTCTACCGGGGCAGTCACGGAGAGCTCGGCGGACTGCTGACACTGGGCTGTGAAACAAATATATGCATAAACAAACTCACCCTCTGTGTAAAATGAACACTGGGACACGATACATGTGTATGGAGGACAGTGGAAATGCGTAGCATCCTTCGCAGACTTGTGGGGCTGCGGTGTTTTTTTTTTCGGGGAGCGACGCAAGTTGCGCCGTGGAGGGACGGTTTGCCGCCGAGGGAGTTTGCCGTAGAAAGAGTTTTTTTACCGTCCGGGTTTGGCAAACTGGCCCCCTCGCGTCGCTCCCCGAAAAAAGTCAACGCCACCGCCTCACAAGTCTACGAAGGAGGCCAACAAATGCGATCGTGCATTGTCATAACAGTACACCGACTTTTAAAGTTTGTGTATTCAAGTGCAATATAAATAGCCTGGGTACCATCCTGGTTAGTTTACGTCCGCTCCTACAGTCGTGGTAGCGACTGTAGGAGCGGACGTAAACTAACCAGGATGGTACCCAGGCTACAATATAAAGTAGATTCAAAGTAAGGCTATATGCTGACATGGCTTAATCTCCAAGCAGATCCTACGGTGGCAAGGCAGTATCCAGTTCGCCAAGCAGTGCCTATTCGTGGATACTGCCTTGCCACTGTAGGTGCTCTCCAAGTAGAGGTTTGGGTTTTGGGCTTATTTTTGACGTTTTTTTAGGCTTTTTATCGGGCATTCTCGTTTTGTCACTGGTATGGTTTTTTTTACGCCAGCCCAACCAAAAGATACCAGTCCAAAGAAGAAAGCCCGATTTACAAAAAAAGCCACAAAACACGCCAAAATTAGCCAAAATCCAAACCTCTGCTTGGAGGGTAACCGTGGGATCTTCTTGGAGGCTCTCATGACACATTGCCAGTGAACTAGTCTGCGGTGAAGCAAATTGGCGATTCAACAACTGAAATTCTGTCAGCAGATAACATAACATAACATAACATAAAATAGATGCGAGAATTGAGATAGAAAACTTGAAGTGCAATGCCCAAATTTACATAGACTATCAAATGTTCAACACTATATATGGACGCTAGGACGTTCTTGACTTATAAAACCACAGCAAGATACGTAGAATGGCCACGAAGTCCTGTGCAATAGTTAAAAAGAGAGAAAGAAAAAACTAAAAAAAGAGTGTATTTCATAAATACTAGGGTATACTTAAGAGTATAAAAAGTGGCCTTTCATGGAAAAAACTTACATATTAATTGCAAAGACTAAAGTCAGGGATATCACAGTCACCATCTAACATGAAGACAACCATTTTACCATACATTTAAACATCAGGTTGCATGTACTATATTAGTACTACACACCATGTATACTTGAGCATCTTTACATTTTAACAGATATAGACTAACGTTTGTAAGAAAACTTAGATGATTGTAATGCTCTCAGAGATCATTTTATGGCATTGATACTAATGACTTTAACCAGTATCTTTGTGGTAGAATTAAATACAATCTGCTTTGCTACCGTAACACACAATGGGATGAAATAGTTTGATGTGTGAATGTTGCATTTTGTGTGCGTGTCTGTGTATTAGACACTCCAGACGCAAGCTTGGCTACTTCTTTGTAGTGTGACTGCCAGTTTTAGCCCTATTAACGATCAGCCTCATGTACATGTATGCCTCTAGTGCTTGAAACAAATCGCCGCCTGGTTTTGAACCACAACGGAACTGTTCGAACGTACGTAAACACTGGACGGGATGGTCGCATGTCATCGGTCATGTGAGTGTAACAACATACATGTAGGAGCACCATATCAGCATTTCGGCGCCATTACTAGAGCATTAACATTACAAATCAGCGTGGAGAGTGTTATATTTACAAACTACGTAGTGTCATCGAACGTCCAAATTGTGTTTCAGACGTGTTTGCTGAAACCCGATGCACGATAGTACCATCACTTGGAACCATCAATGACATTTGTGCTGTACACTAACAGAGCATGATGTCTGATGTAGCAGACATTGCGGTGAGATATTTTGTCATGTCTGCATGGTCATGGTGCAGTCATTGATGAAAACTAAAAGGAAACATCTCCCATTGACATGCTCAGGTGGTGAGGGAGGACTGCGACCAGTCTACGTGGCCAGCATCGTGGTATCAGCGGCTGTTTTCTTCACCTGCGTGGCGCTGTGCTGCCTCAAATGCCGCCGGAAGGACCACCGACGGCGGCGACGGGACGCCAAGAACGAGAAAGTCCGGCGGTGGATCGCTTCCATCCCCGCCGACGTCGACTTCGACTTCATCCCGATGCAGGACATGGGCAGGATCGACTGGAGACACAGCAACAGCCTGCCCAGGCGACCTCACAGCCTTGCCCGGGCGTCCATGCTCAGCGCGCGGACGGACAAGACCGAATCCACGGCCAGTGGGTACCACTCTGCGATGGAGTCCTTGGACGAATCCGGTCGCCTGAGGAGAGAACGTCTGGGAACTGCTGGTTATCTCAAGTCCATAGAGGACGAAGGCGAAGACGATCCTGTGCCTCATCCACAACAGGAGCGTCCAACTCGCACAGAACGCCCGACCCGTCTAGAACAGCAGCCAAACAAGAGACGACAAGACGACGGAGAACGCTTGAGGTTAGAACGACTGATATACGCCGGGTACACAACCCCTTCACAGCAAACAAAAAGTGTCGCGGCTGAAAAAGAAAAGAAGGCGACACTACCAAAGTCGGAAAGCCACCAGATGAGAATGGATCGCCTGTCCATAGCCGGCTACGCTCCGCGAGAACCTAAGGTGAACCCCGCGGACCCCGGTACGGACTCCGCCGCGGAGACTGGCTACACCACCGCCGTGGAGTCACCCGATGACGACTCGCCCATCGCGTCGGACAGCACGACTTTAGAACGGCCAGAAGTACATATTGTACAACCAATAAGTATTGATGTCGACAACATAGAAAGAGAGAAAGAAACGTTAACGACAACCGATGATATTGTTGTGAACGACATAGCGTTAGACTAAAGAGTCAGCCGATGTACATATCGTTGGAGTATCGTTGGAGTATTGGTCAGGGATGTAACTGATAAAGAGTAGCCTCTACCAGGCTTCAGACGCGGCTGGAAAGAGTAGAAATTGGCCAAATAGTTAAATAACATACAGGGGTAGTTGGTCCACCAAAGGAGTACAGTTGGAGCGGCAGATTCCCCTGGCATAACTATCTGTCTATCTGGCCAATTTCTACTCTTTCCAGCCGTTTCTAAAGCCTGGTAGAGGCCACATATTATAAAAGGCAGTCCATCCTCAGTGTTGCTTTATTTTCCAACAGAGAATAATGCATGTGCAATCTTTGAAGAGTACGGACGGCGTTTTTAACAAAATGTGAAGGAAATATTTAAGGAGCCACCTAAGGCACTCAGGGGGAACAAGTGGCCAAGTCCACAGCAACTGTTGCTGCTATTCTACAAGTTTGCGAAGACTTTGAATTAATTAAGAGGACATTCCTTTAAGTTATTGTCAGATCATGTTGATGAACCTACCTCCCTAATAAGCAAGCAGCCAATCAGCTATTACTCCCTTTGTACGTAGATGCAAATGTCATAAAAATGACCATCTTTGAATCGTCGACAGTTTTCTGCTTGTATGCATATTTTCTTGCAGTGAAATTGGTGCGTTACGCCGAATTGCGCAGTTATACCGGCTGTACAGAATGATACAGAATTGTGACAAAGAGGACTTCCTTGGTAGCCTGGGTACCATCCCCAGTAGTATATTCGCAAACTACTGGGGATGGTACCCAGGCTATTCATAAGCGACTAGAAAGAGTAGAAATTGGCTAACCTCTACCAGGCTTCGGGAGGTGGCTGGAAAGAGTAGAAATCGGCCAAATAGAGAGATAGCATGCCAGGCGATTTGGTCTGCTGGAGAGAACAGCTTGTCGCCCTCTGAAGCCTGGTAGAGGCTAGAAATTGGCCAAATAGACTGTAAATGTAAGCACGCTAAGATTTCGGGGAAGTGTAGGGCCTCCATCTTGTCTTTTGACCACTTTTAACAACAGAACTTTCTCCAGTTCTCAGTTCATCTGATTTGAAACATTAAGACTAAAAAATTTGCATTCAACTATTTTTTGTTATACATACTTTTTGCATCTGTAGCTTTGTTTACTTGGTTACTGCTTACAGCATTGCCCTATGCATTGATCTTTAATATACATCAAGTAGTATTAATAAACAAGGTTGATGGAGTCGGCCCGAAAATTTGGGTAAGTCCCAATTCTTGTAGTGTT